GAGTCCTACCTTTCGTCTGAGATGCCACCTAAGACGTCCATTGTGTCTTAGATGCGTCTCGATGTGTGATGCTTATTTGACGTAAAATAGAGGAAAAGGCTTAGAGACATCTTACTCAACATCTGAGACTCCCCCAAAGATACATTATCGTCTTTGGAGATTTTTAATGCAATCCTGGGCATGCAGAAGAAAGCTAAAATGTTTTCTGAGATGACCTGTCGTTCTAAATTGGCATTTGAGACGCATCCTAAGATGTGGTCGTCACAACTTTCCCTAATCTACCTTATTTAAGACACAATATAAAATGAGGCTTAAACTTATACTTATTCTTTTGTGGCAATTTTCAAAGGTTTTGGGAGCTTTCTAAGGGTTCAAAACATCTCTAATGATTTTTTATTCCAAATAAATCTCATATGCATCAAGATCACGGAACAATTCTGAAATATCTTAAAACTATTTGAAGAACAAGCATTGAATCCATGTTCATCATCAACCACAAGTGCTCATCTTTCTAACCATGAGCAACAACTCATCATGTGATCATGATCGAGATTACATCTAGGGCTGACAATTCTCGACACGACCCGAAATAAATGGGTTTGGGTTGAGTTATTCAACTCGTCTACCCGCCAATCCGTTTATTAAACGAGTCATATATGGGTTTCTAAAAAAAATAAATGGGTTGACCCGCTAACCCGTTTATATTTTTAATAAAAAAAATTATATTTTATTTTTAAATATATTTATGTATCAAGTATTAATATTTAATAAGTATTATATAATATATATATATATATATATATATATACCATTGATTCATACACCACTTGAATTATCTATGTTTGTATTAATGTTTAGTTTGAACATGTTTCTATGAATATTTTGAATTTTCATTTGGATGTTTAAGACTTAAGTGTCTAAAATTCGGATATGTTTGCATCAACCATCAAGAATTTAATCATGTTTAATTGTCAAATTTATTTATGGAATCTAACCCACAAACCCGCCAACCCGTGAACCCGTATAAATAAATGGGTTGGCGGGTCATATATGGGTTTATGTTCTAAATCCGTCAACCCGTGACCCGCCAACCTGTGACTTGTATATTTAAATGGGTCATGTTTGGGTTGGTATATTTTGACCCGTCAATCCGTCAACCCGCGATGCGCCAACCCGAACACGACACAATTGTCAGGCCTAATTAGATATATGCTCATTTTTTTGCATTGTTTTGGTTTATGAACGATGTTAGACCTGTTTGCAATTTGTGGTGTGTTATGACACATTTAATATCTTTTGGTTACTTATTGTTGTTTATCAAATTATCATTTTAAGTGTAAGTAAATTCTTGAGTAATCTTCCCTACCAGGTCAAATCATTATACCGGTGTGTAGGATGACAGGTGTGGAAAAACTTAAGCAATACCAAAAATTAGGGGTAATTGATAATTGTTATGTTTATGTATAACATTAACAAGTCTAAGATTTGGTAATTTTCCCAAACAATATTTAACTATGATTAGAACCGAAACCACATGTGAATAAAATCTCTTTACAATCATTGTTTTCCGAATTATGTTGCTTTTAGTTTTCACAAAAACTACTTGTTAACCATAAGCTCCTCGTAAATTTGACTCTTACTTATCATAGCTATTTAGTGTTTAATGTTTTTTTATTGTTGCATCAAAGACTTCAATCAATCATATCATATGTTTCAGTTACTTATTTATCATTGAAAGATTTTTTCCCCTCATCTTTAACCTTTATTACTTGTGTCTTCGATAAATAAATAAAGTGGAAAAACCAATATGATTTGTACATCATCGAGTTCAAGAAATCCAGCAAGAAGATTAAATTTTATCCAATAATGGGCTATGATTGCAACTTTATTGAGTGGTTTGACTTAAAAATATGTCATAGATTAAAGGTGGTTGTTCTAATGATGAATCCATTGTGTCCAATAAATATACTATACTGTTAATTATATAAAAGCCCATGGGTGTTCAAACACAAAAGATCATTTAAATGTAATGAAATAAATAATATTTTGTATGATTTCAATTTTTTATTTATTAACTAAAATAAATAAATAGTTATTTATTATTTCTTGGTCAAAAGCGAGATAAATAAATATGAGAGTTTATTTATTAAATTTAATTAATTCATTTATTTAATATAATTAATTAATTAATTAATGAGTTTGGCTAATAGAGGTAATCAATTTTTGATTAATGTTCTATGGCATCAAATGGTCCCTAGGTAATATATTTTCTTACCTTATGGTTGATTGTTGATCATATATCTTAGTTCTAATTGAATTCGGTTTTGGAGATAATGAAATTTTTAAGCTATATTTGCTTTAGATTTGCTTGTTCATTAAACTGTTTTTGGAATCAGTCAATCCTCAACAATGATTCCGGAGGCACTTTTACACTATATGATCACATTAATTAAATAATTTTAATCGTTTTTATCATGTTCTTTGTATTCTTAGTAATGGTGAAAATAATTTGATTCAAAATTTTAGATTGTAGAATGTTTTAATGATTTATGCAATTTTATTATTATTTTTATCAATCACATGTGTGATTTAGTAATAATATCATTAAGTTCGTTCTTAATATGATGATATTGGTCCATGCGTTGTCTTGACTTTTTTATTGGTTCTGGTTGTTTGGATTTTGATGGTTGTTTTTTGGTTAATATATGTATTTTGGTTGGCCAATTTTGTGAGTATGCTGTAATTGATATCGGCTCATCGCATGGTAATGTCTCCCCACCCTTGTGGTGGGACTGTTGACTTGAGTTGACCAACATCGTTGATTCGTTTACCCGAAGGCGGCCACTAGGCAGTCGACAATGGTGGCGATTTTCTAACGGGAATTTTTTGGCAACAAAAAAAAAGTTTTTAATTTGCTTTTGTAGATTTTATTTTGTACATAGGTTTGACCAAATTAATTCATGATAGCTCATAAATTAATTTTTTATGTCCGGGCAATGAATTAATTATTTTTGTTAGTATTATAACCTTGTGTTGTTTTATACATGTTTTCAATAGTTTTGTTTATGATACAAATCAAAACATACAATTAAGTTTTCGAGTACTATCCTGAAACATGAAAAACAAAAAAAAAAAAGTTGCCCATCATTGAAAACCTCACACCTGATGCACCTCTTAAGAACGCATTGATACTATTTGAAAAATCTAGACAAAGAAGTTCCATGAGTAATACGAGGTAACATGCCTCATGCTTACAAGCATGACCTCAAAGGTTAATACGATCCCATAGGAGCTTGATGTATATGAAATGAACCACAAGTTGAAAAACATGTTTCAACATGTTGATACTGAATTGGTTTATTTTGACAAATCAATTGAAGCGTGTACACTAGAGGACAGTCAATACTCAATAGTTTGGCCCTTTCATTTTTGAAACGATGGATAATATTAATAGGTTGGAAAGTTTTGGATCTCCTGTTATTGAATTGGTAGTGTGACTACAATTCTTGATGAGTTATAACCCTGAACACTATATGACATCCATATCAAAGTTGCAATATATATTGCACACTGCTGAGAATATATATTTAATAATTAAAAATTATGTAAGGCCATGTGAATAAGAAGCCACGTGAAAAAACGAATGGGCAAAGGACCAAAGGTTTTCACTCGGCCCAAGAAGAATGAACATTTTTATTTCCTTTTAAAAGGGACTAAAGTTTTACTAACATATGTAAACCCATACTAGCCAACGTTGTTGAGCTAAGGAAAATTCGGGCCATGCAATACGTTGCAAACCACATGGAACAAACAACCGTCCCCAAATGAGGCATGTAGCTACCCAAGAGTTGAAGCATCTAAGAATGATAAAACATGCAACAAGTCCTTTGAACTGTTGCATCTCAAGTCATTCACCGTTAAGCCACCTGATAGATTGTTAGGAGGTGTATTAGTAGTGTCCTACACTGTCTTAACCAATTCTATATATGTTGTTAGAGTTAGCTCTCTTTTAGAGACAAAATCTAGAACTACATATATCCTATCCCAAGCTTCCTACAAGAACCCAAATAGATAAATGGTGCAAAACTATTGAACATATTATCTATTGAATAACAATACAAATGATGTCTTAAAGATTGTTTGTAATAGTGGAGCTTTTTTTGACCTCCCCAGTCCCCACCCTATAGTTGTGGGTCCATCCATGTTTCTTAGGAACATGATACACGTGTCCGACTCCTATAACTTAATGAATGCATCCTTAATATGGTGTGGTTTGTACAACCATACTATTGCTTTTTTTTTTTTTCACTACAAAATCTATATACTTACTAGTAAGGAATTTATGGTTATCCTATAGAAATACGTGATCTTTTCTTTATGGCACTCAGATGTTCCTTAGCAATGTTGAAACTTAACCAAGATTGAAAAGAGTATGTCCATGAATAATGAAGCAGTTGCATGGATTGGGCTTTGGATGGACTTCAAACTAGTTAAATGGCTATAAATATTTGTTATCCTGTAATTGAAACTCATAAATGGAGATTCATAACGGGTTGTGAATTGTGATCCTAGGATGACACGATGGAGTTTCCACAGTTGTCTTTCTTATTTAACAAACAAAAAGCTGGAATGAATTTTGCTTCCAAATCCCTCAAACCAAACACCCCCTAAAGAATTTCGTATGGATGTATGCAAGAATGTTCGATTTACAATTTGTGAATATGTATAAATTAGTGAAAATCGGAACATAGTTGCATAAAATTTTTTTTAAAGAAAAATATTGTTACATAAATTGGTAAAAATTCAAAGAAAAAAGAAAGATTGCAATATTGCATCGATATGTCTTCTAACCCATTTTGACAACAAAAGATGAGAGTTTTGAACCAATTTTGTTGAACCCTAAGGGCAAAAGACGTAAATGCCCTTAACAAAAATAGCCTAGAAAGTCAGTTCAGTCCAGTCCCATGTAACAAACACAGCCTAACAAAATCTAATTGGCAGTAAAGTCTTCACAAACAAATAGAAATCTCATAACACCTTTGCAAATTTGAAGATAAATAATAAGAGCAACATCACATTGTCATGTTTTTTATTATAAGAAGCAATAAGACAAGACATGTCAAATGGTAATGTACACATAACAAAACACTCAAATTCACCTAAACAAGACACAACTCAGAAGAAGAATTCAAGCAACTTTTTTTTTTTATAATAATCAGGAGATTATTCACCTCACCTTTTGTGTACTTTTTCAGCAAGTCCATGAAGAAGATCTCTTAATGATGGGTTTCAACTGTCTATCATCTTCAAGAGAAATCATCCCCAAATGTGATGGATCTTCCAACAGCATCTTTGCTACCAAATATCCAGCAATTGACCATGTCTGATACTTCCTTGCTTGCTTTCCAATGTATCTTCCATTTTTCCCATCATAGTATTCCGGCCACCCGTCCTTCAGCAGGCGGCTCTCCGCCAGTTCAATCGCCTTCCTTGCTATCTGTGGCCTCCCCGTTTTGATGCATGCCGCCGTTAGCAACCACAGAAGCACTGCATATATATATATATTACACAAATAACAAAAAAGCAATTAAAAAAAATGTTCTTTTGGATTGGGAAATTATTAAAACAAAAAGTGAGGGAGAAAGAAAGAAAAGTAACCTGGCCAAGATCCTCCATTGTGGTAACTCCATCTAGTGTTCTTAGGATCACAACCAGTAACAATTCTCCACTCATGACTTTCAATTGCAGGATAACAAATCTTTATAGGCATTTCACCTACAAGCTCCTCCCAACGTGCTTCAAAAAGATCCATAATTGCAGAAGCTTGTTCAGGGGTAGCAAGAGAAGATAAAATAGCAACACAGTTGCCTAAAGCAAACCACCTAAAGTCCATCCTTGCTGGACTCACATTTCCAACAAAGTAACCACCACGTGTTGGCATAAAATCAAACACCCAATCTGGGATTGAATCAGGAATAACATTAAACTTATTTACAGCAGTGTGAGAATACTCCTCTGTTTTATAGCGATAGATATCATTCAGTTGTTGAAAGTCAATCCAGAAATAACTTCTCATGTGAAAGCTCAATGCATGCAGCCTCTTCATTATTCTTTCCACAAACTCTTTTCCCTCTGAGTCGAGTTTCAGCATTGCCAATGAACATCTCAATGCCATAAAGAAAAGAGCTTGTATCTCTATAGGATAACCATAAATCCCCTTGAAAAAGAAAAAAAACAATCCCATTAAACATATGATACAGTTAGTGAATATAGAAACATAAAGAAAAGCACAAACATTTCTTACCATCCTTCTATCAATCATTGAGCACCCATCTGCACAGAGCAAAGTTGGAAACGTATCAAAACCTTCTGATAAACACAAAGTTAATATAAGCCTCATTCCCTTTTGGCAATCTGGAGTTTCAGCTAGGGTTAAATCTCCAGTAGACTTTGTATATGCACGAAGCAATATAATCCACCAGAATCCAGAATCAACAGGTGCAACTCTTCCAATAGCACTCTCACCAAAATCTGCAACAATTGTATCTGTTTTTCTTTCTGGATCATGAAGAACTTTAAAACTAGCAGGCATTGCCCCTTCCCCGAGTTTGAATCTATCAATTCTTTTTTCCCACCCTTGAAGTTGAAGTGTCTTCAATAGAAAATTCTTCACTATATCAGGCTCCCCATTCATTAGAAACGCCAGTGCACTGGGTACAAAATCCCTTACAAACACCTACACATCACTCATAAACAAAACAACACATTGAATAGCGAATTCCAATCTGATCATAGTTATGATCAAGGAACACAAAATTTTACCTGATCATAGTTTAGAACTTCTTCAGATGCATGATCATATGCAGCAATTGTGCCAACTGGTTGTCCCCTGAAATGTACCAATGATCTACGAAGAGAATCCCAGGCTTCAGCAATCATTGGATGGGGTTCAAAAGAGTTTCGTGTGGATGAAGCAGGTGTATCAAATCCAGAGCGTCCACCTGGCGAATATGCAACATCCAAATTCTCAAGGCCTCTTGATAAAGACATCTCACTAAGTGACCTTTCATCAAATGATCTTTCTCTTTTGATGGTCAGTCTTGGTCTATCCAGAAGCTTTGTGAGATCAAAATCATCCATTTCTGGAATGGAGCAAACTGAGCTAACATTACGAAGTCCAGACTCTTTAGGGGCATCCATGATACTCAAATTTTCCACCTAACGAATAATCTGCACATACATCAACATTAAAAGTATTGGATTTTAAACATTCAGGTGTGAATACAAGATATAGAATTAGTATTTCGTATACATCTAATAAATAAACAAAAGTGATAAGGACACTTTAGCTGCTTATTCATTAATCTTATCCACATGTAATCAGACATGTTAACAGACCAACCAACATGCATAATAACACTTAACTAGGGTTGAATTTATTTCCTTGGTTTCAAATGTTAGGAAGATCTTTTTGATTCATACATCACCACAAAGTTGCTATTGGTATCCTGTTGGTAAAATCAAATTCGTATATTGAGTAAACACCTAAGAAATTACATTCTTATAGCCTGCATATAAAAAAAATCAAGCTTTTGCATGAAATTTATTTGATGGGAGACGACGCTGAGAAAAATGAATGTGAGATGAATTTATGAAAGGATAAAGAAGCGTAGAAATGTAGTTCATTTTACATTAAAAGCTTTAAGATAAGAAACCACAAAAACATTAAATGTTACTTTCAATGTTAAACAATCCACATCGAAGCTTACCTAATTAGAATTTCAATCACCCTAATAAGAGCAAATATAAAACACTTGATAACAAAAGTACCAAATCTGAAATTGCATACAACTTGTAAAATATTATTGAATCTGCATTAGTATTCCTAGACCATTCAACGATATTTCCAAGATCCAGAATACATGTGAAACGGAAAACAATAGGAACAAATCTTGACAAAAATAGCCCGGAAAAGAGACCAGTGGCGGGAGTCTTGGGAAATATGTAAGAGATCTGAAGCTAAGTTTATATAAAAGGTAAGAGCATATATATATAAAGAAAGGTAAAAGATAGGGAGAGAAAGTGAAGACCTGTAAGATATTAAATGTCGGTAAATAAAAAATTTCCGGTGGTCGGAGGTGGACGGTCAAAAGCCGGCCGGGAGATTACCGGGAACGGGTTGGTAGTCGTGGAGAAGACAAAGCAGAGAAAAAAAAGGGGGAAGAAGGAAAAAGAGAGCATTTTAACGTAAGGTCGTATTTATAGATAGAGATGGAGAGAGAGGAATAAGAATGCTCCTCCGTCTCTTCGATTTTTTCTCTTAATCTAAACGTCAATGTAAGCAGCTCTTATTTTCATTGCATTTCTTTATTTTGTTTAAATGGTATATCTTTATGTATCTAATTGCAAAATACTAATATTCTTTTATCATTTTTTATTTAATTCAAGTTATTTAATTTAGTGTAACATATTTATTGTTTTATATAAGACATTATAACTACTAAATGATTTTCGGTCAATAGTTATATGTAATTTTTAATGGTATATATATATATATATATATATATATATATATTATATATATATATATATATATATATATATATATATATGTTGATTATGTTTGATACCTTACAACTACCTATTTTTTTTTTTTAACTTTTTTAAATTGCTATATTTAACAATCCAAAAAAATACCTTATAAACTATTTTTAAAAAAAAGCAACTCATAGTGGTATTTTAGCGAAATTGTTGACCCTTTTAAAAATCCTTCCAAAATATACATTTTATTAGTTATATAAGAAAATAAATTAGGATCTATTTGGTATGATAAAATAGAATGAGTAGAGGAATAAAGTGGACAAAATAAAGGAAGGAACTAGATAATTAAATGTTTTTTATGATAAAATATAATGAATGAGAAATAGAATGTACAGAATAATAGAATGAATTTATTAATACTAATAGAATGAACTAGATAACCATTGAGAGATAAAATGGAAAAAATAAAGAAATGAACTAGATAATTGAATGTTTTGTATGATAAAATATAATGAATGAGGAATAGAATGTACAAAATAATAGAATGAACTAGATAATTCGAAATGAAGTGCCCAACAAACGATATCCCATTCGCGCAAAGTTGGAACAATTCTAACATCCACCTCCTGACATTAATGTCGATCCAATCCCTTACGAAAAGCACGCAAGCCGATGGAAAACGAACACTATCCTAAAGAACAAACACCAAGGCTAGTAAATTTGTGAATCATAATTTGGAAATACATAGATCTAGCTTGTCCTCCTGGCAAACAATGACATCCAATACATCTGTAACGTCAGTGTTTCTAGGCTAAGCATTATTATAATGATGTAATAGTTAGGATCAACAATTGTAAACTATTTTGAAGTAATTATGACAAATTATTTGAGTATTATGTGATTTATGTGCAATATATGTGCTTATAACGATGTAATAAATTAATAATAAAAATATGAGTCAAAATAGAATGAATATTTAACCCAATACCTTTAAAGAAAGTTGAAGTAGTCATAACAAGGATTTCGGGGATATAAGGTACGCTGGAATCCGACTTATAACGAAGAAATTATGACTCGTCGAAGTTTTACGACAAAACCGACACGGCACCGCGAATCATAAAAAGTGAATTTTTGATAAACTACTTTTTGGCCTTAGTAACCTAAATGAAAGTCGTAGTATACGTTAAACCGAGAACGTACATAAAAAGAACGTCTAAATCTGACTTCGTTTGAGGAAATTATATTTTTCTAAGATTTAGCATAACAATGCACAACCCGGAAATCAAATTTTACATTGATTGATTTTAGCCGATACAACCTAAATAATAATTTAAGATCTCTTTAATAGGAGCTCAACGATATAAAGACAGCCGAAAACGGACGTCGGATAACAAAGTTATGAATTTTTAACGAATTTTAATTGTCTAAGCCTGTTAAAATATAACATTAAAAATAAAGTCAAAATTAGTCGACGGAGTCTAAACGAAATTTGTAGATCATGTCGCTACCTACGCGTGAATGTAAAGAACGTTAAAAACAAAGCTCGTATGCGAAAGTTACGAATTTTAAAAGATAATTAGTTTTTGGAGTGACACGTGGCGCGATCTGAGCCATTACTACTTCCCCACGCCTTGTCACCAGATGGTGACACCTGGCACCCCAACACGTTGTGTAGGGGCTCAAAAGACGTCGTGTTGGTCATTTTTCCAGCCTATAAATAGAGGCGCAAATCTCTCATTTTCTTCACACATTTCTAACTATTCTCTCCCAAATCCCCCCAAAGCCTAAAGGCTTTTCTCTAGCCCTTATTAAGAGTTAGTAGCTAGTCGAGGGCACCATAAGGCTCCGAGAAGAAGAGCTTTTAGCTCAAAAGTTCTACCTAAGCAGAGTCCGGACCCTCGCTAAACCCCCTTGTAAGTGAGTTATGCTTACCCTACTTTAAGTATAACTTATGTTTAAGTTCAGTATCGTTATTATGAACCTATAAACAAGATTTATCAGTGATTCAAAGTCGTTATACTGATTGAACTACTTGCGAGAGAGGTGTCTAGAATGGTCACATTAGGCTTGGTTGTTGGATTTCAGAAAAGCTATATGTCGAAATGATCCTGCCTCCCAATTGTCCTGTCTGACTTATCCTTACTTGATAGATCATGAAAGTAGACTTTAGATTAATGATGAATCTAAACTAATAATTAGTCGCAATAAATATTAGACTAAAATCTAGTAATAATGATACTAGGTTTCGTTGAAGGAAATAAAATGTTTAAGAAGTGAAGCGTTGCTCGAATTTTGAGTCATCACTTTAACAACTAAGTGCATAGTTACTTTCATCTTACACATAGATATAAAGTATTTAATATAAATTACGTGCTATGTGTGCATATTATCTGTGTTCTTGATTCTATGTTGGATGAACAAAATATATATGTTCTATTCAAGTTAAACTATATATGTATTTATACCTATAATTATGATGGGTAAAGATGGGTAGATGATATAGATTATGAAATAAATGATGAGAGGCTTCGATGTTGAAAGTTGATTCAGTCATCTAGCAGAGTATAGATGACGATCATGGACTATTCTATACAGTCTAGTGGAACGCTGACAGACTCATAACCTATAGGTGTTTTTGAACTACGTGTTCACCAGGTGTACTACATCACCCTCATAGTTGCTTTTTTGACATATATTGCTAAGGAATTCCTTAAGCAGTGTTGTCCATCCCGATGAAAATCCGTAGGCTAGATCCCTTAATTTAGATATTTTAGGGATAAAAAAGTGAGGATAAAGGGAACGGGTAATCGGGTTTATTGATTTGATGGAATTAATAAACTTAATTATTGTGGGTTGAAAACCTTATGTGCTCACTAGGCTCCTAAGCACGACCCACTCAGTTTCTTGTATTACAGGTAGTGGCAAAAGAGCACATGAGTAATGATCTGATGAGAGATCTATGGATTATAGGCCATTAGAATAATAGATGTTGTAAGGCATGTACTATTTCTGTTTATGTTATTATATTATATTGACAATGACATCCCGATGTTTTTAATATAATAAAAAATACATTTCTTCGAAAATGTTTTGATAAAATCTTTATCATATTTTTTGGAACAAATTCCGCAACATTTTTTGATTTTTTTCTTAAAAATGATACTCTGATTTTTAATAAAGCATAAACAAATTGGTCTTTTCTGGCCGTAAAATTGTGGATGTCACAGTTGGTATCAGAGCATTAGTTTAAGCGAACTAGGAATTTGTAGGATTTTTAGACTTAAACTTAGAATGCTAATCGATGATTGTGAGATGTGTGTCTACTATATTTATGAAATATACCTAAATAGACACTTGCACTAGCTTATTTTATGAATGATGCCTAAATTGTTTTTATGTGCTAAATGATTTATGTTATTATTTGATCGGATTTATGGTCTATTGCCGATCGGATCTGGAAACTTTAGTGTTCAGATTTCTAAATGTTCGACTACGATATTAGAACTTTCATACAAGGAGGATTTAAACGTCAATCGTAAATAAAGATCTAAATTCATTTGCTTTGGTGTGTAGATCAACATGGCGAGAACCCGAAGCAGATTCAGAAATTCTAATGGCAATCAGCAACCAGTGATTGAGCGTGCACCGGAAGTAGTAGCTAGACCCGAGCCAATCAAGATGGTAGGAGTCCAAGAAATGATTAGGGCTATGATGGCCGAACAAAGAGATGAGATGAGACAAATGTTGCAGGATGATAGGGATGAACCTACTGTACCAATTGTACAACCTGAGATAAACATCGAACAGTCAGAATAAGGGAATTACATTAGAACTGTCAGTCAAGCTAAGCCACACATGGTTAGAAGAAACCACCCCAATGAAGGAAATGATGGACTTGGATGTAAGTACAAGAATTTCATGGTATCCAAGCCACTGAGTCTTTCTGGAAGACCAACACCGGTGGAAGTCATGGAGTGGACCTCCAAGATGGAGATGATGTTTCAAAGTTGTGACTGCAGCACCAAACAAAAGACCGCTCTCGTGGTTACACTTTGAAGATCGGGGTATTAAGTTGGTGGAAGCTACTAGTTGATATCATGATAAAGAGTGAATCAAGCAAGATGTCTTGGGAAGACTTTTTGGTGCAACTAAAAATGAAGTACTGCTCTGAGCAAGATCTTCTGGAGATCAACAACAAGTTTTAGAATCTGAAGATGGGAAGGATGAGCGTCACAAAGTATGCTGCAAGTTTTACAAAGAAAATGAAGCTTGTTCCTTATTTGTTTCCGACTAAACTCTCCAAGTCCAGCAAGTTTGCAAATAGATTTTCAGCGTACTTTGGTTCGATGGTCAAGCAAGCAATCACTTTCAAAGTTGTCGATTGCGCAACTAAGAATGTTGAGATCCAAATAATGGACAAGGGTCTAGAGAGAGCTGAGGTAGGAGAGAAAATGAAATTTGATGGATCTTCAAGATCCAACAAGAAAAGCAAATTCTCAAAGTCTAATTCCAGGAAATTTGGAGGAGGAGGATGTGAAGAAAGATGGTGTGAGAAGTGAAAAAATAAGCACTTTGGAGAATGTGGTGAGAAAGTCACTTGTTACAAGTGTGGGAAGAATAGGTATTACGCTATTGAGTGTACATTCAACAAGAGGGTGTGTTATGGATCTAATGAAGAAGGGCATATTTCTAAGAACTGGTCGAAGAAGAAAGAGGCAGCAAGGCCTAATGTTCCGCCAAGGCCAAAGGCAATAAAATTACAGATGACCCTATAAGCAACAAAGGATGTAGCTGATGTTACTTCAGGTACCTTTCTTGTAAATGGATTGCCTGCCAATATATTGTTTGGCTCTGGAGCAAATTACTCCTTTATATCACATAAATTTGGT